ATACATTGATTCAACTTATTTTGACTTTTCCTGTCTCTATAACAACAACAAAATGTGCATTTTCATTTATGAAGATCATTTAAACAAAGCTTCAAAATAAGATGGAAGATGATTTTCTTATTGATTATATGATTGTTTGTATTGAAATATAGATTGCCGCAAAATTTGATTAAGATGCGATAATTGATAACTTTTATAATATGAAACATCGTGGATTATAGTTGAAATGTAATTGACTTCATATATACATATAATTGTTTATGTTAATCTTAAATATAGGTGGATGATTTATAATTTTTAATAATTTTATATAATATATTTATTTTTTATATGTTGTCCCCCTCGTTTAAAATTCTTGGTTATGCCTCTAGATGAGTACATTCAAATTGTTGAATGTATTGCAATCCAATATTTAAAAGGTTTTGTAAGTGATGTGAACGAGATATTTAGATATGAGTACTTAAGAAAGTCAAACGATAATGTCGTCAATAGTCTACTATGAATTGGAGAAGCATGTGACTTTCCAAGTATGTTGCCTTTGATTGATTGTATGTATTGAGAATGAAAAAATTGTGTTGTTACATGACAAGGTCAATATCGTAGAGATGATAATAAAAAGACCCATAATAATACTTGAAGTTGTTGCTTGACAAATTTGTGGATTTAGCAATATATATTTTGGAGTTGTTGGATCAAACAATGATATTACTATATTGAATTAATAGTACGTATTTAGTGACTTTTCATAAGGTCGAGCTCCTTTAGTATAATTAATTAATGGAATCCCATATAACATGAGATATTATCTTGCATATGAAATTTATCCTAATTGGACAATGTTTGTGAAAACTATCCCAATGTTGTAAAGTTGCAAAATATCAAGAAGTTAGCAAACGAATATTGAGAGAGTATTTTATATGCTAAAATCTCGATTTACAATTATATGTAGTCAATTGCGTACTTGACACATGGATACAATAAAGAACATCATATTGACATGCATTAATATTACATAAAAGAAGAACAAGATATATGTTGGGTGAGATTCACAGGGGAGAAACACACCAAGAAGACATGAACTCAACTCATATAAAGATTGATATCACTCTCAACCCAAAATCTTAAGATATTGAGTTATGAGTATTTCTTTTTTATATGTTGTTCAACTTTTTTATTCTTAATCAATATGACACTTAGAATCACACTTGAATTCCCACTAATACATTCCATAATAATATTAATATTAATTATGAGATCCTAAATATTAACATATCATATCTAACTTTACTAAATATTATATATATAAAAGAGGTCTTCACTAACCACTTCAATAATAATTAATAATTAGTAGATAATAATAACAACATATAATTTTTCATATCAGTTGTCAATATTTAAATTTTTTTTATTAGTATATGTATTATTTTTATTATTAATAAAGTAAATTATCTTTATTTTTAACAATTAAAGGTTAATTAATTAATATTTTTAAATATATTTTAAAAATATTAAATTAAATAGTTTTTATCATCTATAAAATATACTTAAGACCTTAAGATTTTTTTAATAAAATCTTATATCCTAATTTAGGACACGTTAAAAAATTATCTAAGATCTTAAATTAAAGATGTCAGAAGCCCCCAACCATTTGCCAGGTTAGACAATAGGAAAAAATATACAAAGAAACAGATATTTCAATGCTAACGTTACCGTGGATTATATATATATATATATATATATATATATATATATATATATATATATATATATAAATATGTTTTTATAATTCATTATAATATAATTTAAACATCAATTATATACAGATTATCAAAATATAATTATTAATATTATTGGAGACATGGGTGAGTATAATTTAATTTTTGTTTTTGTAACATAATTTCTTTCATGTTAAAGTAGAGCCGCCAAGATTCAAATTCTATACCACTATAGAAATCAAATAAATATTTTTAAAATGTTTATATATAATCATTTAAAAAAATGGATAAAAGTATAAGATACAACGGTATAGATATTAGTGCACTTTTTCTTAAATAATATCTTGCAGTAAGTATAAAACAAATACGATGATATATTGATAATCATCAAAACATAAATATTCATTAGACAATTTAGTTTAATAATATTATTATAATTTTAAAAAATTAATTAAATATAAAAAAATTAAAATTAATATTATAAACTATTGGAGAGTTGTTTGTGAAGAACAAGTAGTCAAAATATATTTTTTCATAAAACAATGTTTCATTTTGACATAGAAAATGGTGGTGCTTAGACGGCCATGGACGGATGCTACTGTCTTTTTATTGGAACCTAAAAAGATAGCATGTGACCGGGCCGGCATATGTATCTATTGTAATAAATAAATAGATAAATATTTATAGAAATATATAATTTTTCATTCCTTAAAACACACATTTTTTTACAAATTTTATTATTCACAGTCAAACATAATGGTGATTAAAACTATTAAAGAAAACTAATTTTGGTTGGTCTTGTGTTGTTATTTAGTAATTTTTTTAATTTCAAAATAAGAATAGTAAAAATTAATATTTTAATATTTCAGAGTAACCTATGACGTGCTCTACTTGGAAAATAGAGTAAAGAATGATCTGGCATACATAGTGTATTAGAATATTCACAAGTGTTAAACATGCATGGATCATAAATATGAGTTGTAGGTTCTGTTTAACCACGTGGCATGACACTTGATATTGTTACTAAATTAATGTTAATTTTTATGATGAAACACGGAAGTGTTAATATATATTCGTTTGTGTTATTTTTGTAATAGCTTTTTATATTATTTATCTCATTTATTGGTATTTTAAAAAAATTATTTTTCTCTTTCCTTGTCAATTCGAAGAATGGGAATATGTTTTAGAATGAAAATTTATACATGGATATTGAAAATGCCAAATGTCAAGAAAAAAATGTAAGTATTATCTATATGTTATAAAAAAATTATTAATTATTTTAAATTAATAAGAGTTTATGAAATAATTTTTTATATTGTTTTTTTTATAATTCTTAAATCAATTATGAATGAAAAGTTTTTTTTTTAATTTTAACTTTAAATTAATCAATAAATATATAAGTAATATTTGAAGAATTAAGATAAATGATATGAGATTTTTTTAATTAAAGAAAATTAATATATGTTAAGTGAAATTCAATATATCAATAATAGGTTTATTATCGAAAGTGATTATTTCAATAATAATTCCATCACAATATTTTTAAGTATTTTCTGGGTATTTTATATATTTTTTACATTTAAAATATAAATTTGTAACACAATTACAATTTAAAAAAAATATTACAATAACAAAAAAATAGATACTATAAATTTAATTTGTTGATGCAAATAAATTTTGAAAACACATATAAAATTATATACATAATTTTTTTTAAATTAACATATATAAATAAACTAATTTTAGTTATCTTTTTCTTTTTCAAAACGTTTCTAAATATACTCTAGGAGGTTAGTTTAGGTTTCATAAACTTGTTTAAGACAAAATTTTATTGTCTTTTATACGTATGTTGCAAAATTAGGACTAGAATCATTGAATGCAAATGTCATTATCTTCGCCCAAAATACAGTGACGTATCGTTATCTTATTCAACTATTCCGGTGCATTTGTCTAACCTCGTGCTTATGGGTTTTTTTTTTTATAAAAGGGGAATTATTTTTAAATTACTAAAATGATATAAATTTTTAAAATTTATAGATTTAGATAAATCTTACTATCAAAACATTACATAAAAAAATCATACTTTATAATATAATTTAAGATTTTTTTAGACGAAGAATTCGTGTAATAACAAATTCTATAAAAATATATAAAATTTTATATAAAAGTCTTACATTGAATTCTAATTTTATATAATAATAATAATATATTTTATATTATTAATAATAAATTAAATAATAATGATAACAATTTAATTTATATCATTATTTAAATTAATATTATATATTATTAATATTTAAATAAATAATTTTAATAATTATATATATTAAATTATTATTATTATTATTTATTTTAATATTGACAATATAAAACATATCATTATTAATTATAATAATATTATAATTATTATATATAAAATTAGAAGTAAAAATTTATATAGAGTTTTAATCTTCTGAGAAGTAGTATGGTCCAACTAGTCTTCTCTCAAGAGTCTAAGAAGAACTAAAAGCGTTTCACATCTTATAAGAATGGTGCTTTTAAACTATGAAGGAAGATAAAGGATTTTCTAAATGAGATTTTGAATAATAATTTTATTTATTTATTTTATTACATTTTTTTAAAAAGTAATAAAGATAAGAGGCGTTAACGCTGATAGTCACATTCTATTTAACACTATTTCTTCATTTATATATTATTTATTTTCTTGTTCTAGTATATAAAATGTTATATATATATAATCTAAACAACCAACGTCTAAACGTCTATTTTTTATTTTTTTTCTATTTCTCATTCTATCATGTAAAATATTTTTCTTTTACTAAACAGTGGTGACTTAGTCCCTTATATCTTATCGGTGCATCCAATTGCGGACAAAGGCATAGGACCACTTGTTTACTACAAATTTTAATATTTGGAGAGGTTGTTCCAAACATTCAATCAACCATCTAAATATATTAATATAATAAATATTATTAGGAAAATTTTCCTATAATAAAATGATATTTTCACAATCTAAATTTATATAATTCTTATAATTTTTTTTTAATATAATAATAATAATAATAATTTTAATTTATTTTTATTTTTATTAAATCATTCTATAAATTATTATATTAAAAAAATAGTTATTATAGTTTTTCGTTGTAAAAATATCACCATTCATATTTATATTTGTAATCTTTTTAATCTTTTGTCTCTCTCACCTACAGTGCTATATTCTCTCTCTAAACTTGTGCCTTGACTAACTATTGAAAAGCAAAGAATCAATCTTCATCCTTGATCATCATGGAGTCCTTTGGTGTTGAAGGTGAATCTGAAACGCTAAAGGCAATTTTTCTGCCCTTTATATCGCCGAGTCACCTCGTACCCGTTGTAGACATAGCCAGGATCTTCGCCATGCATGGCGTGGATGTCACCATAATCACCACACCAGCAAACGCCGCCGTTTTCCAAGGCTCCATAGACCGTGACGCTAGCCGCGGTCGCTCCATTCGAACCCACCTCGTCAAGTTACCGCAAGTGCCAGGTTTGCCAGAAGGAGTGGAAACCATCAACGCTTCCACTCCCATGGACATAGCCCTCAAAGTGAGCGAGGCACTAAACCTTCTCGAACCCCAATTCCGACAAATCTTCCACCAACTCAATCCTGATTTTATAGTCTCCGACATGTTTTACCCTTGGAGTGTCGATGCTGCTGCTGAGTTGGGAATTCCGAGGGTTATCTACGTTGGTGGAACTTACTTTGCTCACTGTGCGATGGACTCTCTCGAACGGTTTGAGCCTCACAAAAAGGTAGACTCGGAAGATGAAAGTTTTTTGATTCCTGGGTTACCCTACAACTTGGAGATGACTCGTTCGCAGATACCGGAACGGTTTAAGACACCCACTGAGTTCTCCTATATAATGAAAAAGGTTAAGGAATCGGAGAAAAAGAGCTACGGGTCACTGTTCAAAAGCTTTTATGCGTTTGAAGGTCCATACGAGGAACTCTACAGGACAATCGTGGGGACCAAGAGTTGGAACGTGGGACCCGTTTCGTCATGGGTGAACCAAGATGTTTCGGATAAGCGTTCAAGGGGGCATGGCAAAGAGGAGGAAGAAGGAAACGGGAAAGCAGGTTGGCTTGCATGGCTTGATTCAAAGAAAAAAGGATCTGTTGTGTATGTGTGTTTTGGGAGCATGAACAACTTCCCTGACACACAGCTTGTGGAAATAGCTCATGGGCTTGAAGATTGTGGCCATGATTTCCTCTGGGTGGTGGGGAAAATTAACGAGGGTGAAGGCAGGGCTTTTCTGGAGGAGTTTGGGAAGAGGGTGGAAGCAAGCAACAAGGGTTGTCTCATATGGGGTTGGGCCCCACAACTTCTCATTCTTGACCATCCTGCTGTTGGAGGTGTTATGACTCATTGTGGGATGAACACAGTTATTGAAACTGTGGACGCGGGTTTGCCCATGGTAACGTGGCCACTTTTTGCAGAACAGTTTTTCAATGAAAGATTGCTGGTGGACGTGCTGAAAATCGCAGTGCCAATTGGAGCAAAGAAATGGAAAAGTTGGAGTGATTTTGGTGATGAGATTATGGAGAGGGGGAAGATAGGAGATGCAATTGCTTTGTTGATGGGTGAAGGAGAAGAGTGTGAAGAGATGCGAAGGAGAGTGAAAGCCCTGAGCCAGGAGGCAAAGAAAGCAATCCAGATCGGTGGCTCCTCTTACAACAGTTTGAAAGATGTAATTCAGGAGATGAAGTCATTCAAACTTGAAAAGCTCAACCCGAAAGATGAGAAGCCTTTGGCTTAGGGAGAATCATTGTTTCTTAATGGACTAATTAATGTATGACTGGTCCTCCTATAATAAATAAATAATTTCCAAGTTACAAAATATATTTATGAAATAAGCTTTAGTAATTGATGGTTAGATACACTGTATCATTATTATATGAAAAATACTTCTTACACATCCATCCAACTCCTATACCGTCAAAAAGAAAACATTAAAAGAAGAATGTAGTAGGTTTCCACGAAATATAACCTGAGAAGTAGAGAGATAGGGTTAATTAAGTGGTGTGTAATAGGTGTATTTAAATTATGATTATCATTATATTGTGTTATAATTATGATCCGAAATATAAATGTAAAATGTTAATTTGTGTAGAAATTTTGGGGGTATAATTGATGAATGAAAAATCAGGTGTTATTTAATGTTATTTTTTATTTATTTTTAAATAATAAAAAATATTAATTGAACGTGAATTTTACTTATTTAAAATTATAAAATAAATAATATTTTAATTTATAGATATATATATATATATATAAATTAAAGTAGGAAAATATAAATAGAAAAATTAAATATTTTTTAATTATATAAAATAACTAGCTCTTCGAAATTTTTTTTTTCTAGAAAACTTTACCATCTTTCTAATACTTTGATCTCATCTTGTTTGTTTTCAATCACGTTATGTTAGATATCTTGCTAATACTCTGATCTCATCTTCAGTTTGTTTTCAATCACGTTATGTTAGGTATAGGAGGTGGAAGATTGTAAAGGCCTTATGCATACGGACAATTTTGAATTAGGAAAATTTTGTCCTCTCTTTTGCATGAGATTTAAACAGAGAAAAGTGACTTTTCCTATTAGTAGATCTAGAAGTTGTGACTTTTTTTAGCTTATACATGTTAATATTTGGGAACCTAACAAAGTTATAATTGATTATTCTCATGAACAGTAAAGTCGATACCAGGACTCATCTTACAAACTTTATTTCTCTAATTACTATTCAATTTGGAAACACATATTAAGGTCATAAGATAGAACAAGGTATTAAGTTCGTGATATTTTTTATTTATTCCAAATGTATTATTCATCAAATCACTTATCTTCAAACTCCTGAACATAATGAGATTGTAAAAAGAAAACATCAACCCATATTCCATTCTAATGTTCTCTTAAATTCTGGTGTTTTGTCAAAACGGAGAATCAGACCTTACCGGTTCTGACATCGGGACAACTCTTCTTGCACTCCGGCGGCACTTCTTAGGCTTGCACCTGTCGTTACTGGCGATGACAATATGGGTCATGGATCGCCCATGGCAGGAGTTGAAGGGTGTTATCTCTACCAAATTTTGTAACTCTTACGTAACTTTTTTTTTCACCCTTTAAATATAATAAATATTTAATATATTTATTTATATATTTATAATTTTATTCTTTTACTTTTTTTTTATAACTTTTATATAATTTATAATTTGTTTCTTTTAAATTTAATAATTATTTAATATATATAATTTTTTTTTATATTTATTTATTATTTATTAATAATATATTATTTTACTACGTAATAATAGTCACTTCGTTTCTCCTTTTATAAGAAAAAGAGGATAGCGGTGTGAAGGAAGAGTTATGGGAAAGGCGTGTGGTAAGAACGTTCAGAAAAGCATATAGCATTAGGGTTACTTACTTCACCCTGCATCTGAAATCGGGTCGATGGGTCGGTTTTAATTTTGGATCGGTTTTACACGGATCTTATACTAGGCTTTCAGATGACAAGACTTGGTGATTAAGTAATTAAATAGTTATTAAAAAATTTACCAGGATCTATCTTACAAATTGGCTAGCACTTTGAAAAAATCATAAGAGTGAGAACAAGACACGGGAAAAGTATTATAATGGTGAATTTAAACAATTATCCATTTCGTAATATTAAGCAGTATTTAATAAATAATGGATATGATTTTTAACCATATATTGAATCTTTCAATTATTAAAGTAAATAATAAATATGATTTTTTCACATAAAAAATTTAAAATATAAATGATTAAGTTTTCTAAATGTTCCTTCAGTAAGGATATTGTTTAACAAAAAAAAGAAAACAAATAAAAAACTCTCTCACATTATTTTTTTTGTTTAAATATTCTATTTCACAAATTTTGTTTTTCTTCTTTAACTTAAATAAGTTAAATGATTTAGTCAACATTTTTAACTGAAAATAATAAAAAATTAGTATATATTTATTGTTATAGATAATTTATACTTTTTATTTTAAATTTATGTTATTTCTCTTGTGTATTGTTTTTAGATAATATTTTTCTAAGAATTAAAATAAACATTCGGTTTATTTTATTAACCATCTCCCACTTCCCTTCACAATTCTACTCCTTTTGAAAAATATACAATAAACCTTGTGATTTAAGGGACATTCATGTGTTTGTTTGTCTTTATTACATCACTACCTTAACCAACAATAGAAAGAAGTTTAATGATCAAGTTAATCCTGATATTTTTCTTGGTTTCAAACAAAATACAAAAGGATATATTGTTTATAATCTTAAAACTTATAATATGGATGTGTTTCATAATGTATTTTTCTATTAAAATATTTTTTTCAAAACAAATGATGTTATTATTTTATCTTAACCTTTTTTTCTACATTTTTTAATAATGATAGAATGATCGTAATAAATAAACTAATGATCTCTTTGACATTGATAACTTTATTAACAATTGATTTGAAAAATTACTACTTTCCTATCTAAGACACCTAAATGATCAATCACCTAAAGATGGAGTCATTGATAATTTGGTTGATAATTGATTGGAGGACCAATATTCCAATAATTTGATCCACTTAAATGATCAATCATCTGAAGACCAAGCAAATGATTATTCAATTGACAACCAATCTAAGAATCAACATTTCTCCCATTTGAACCACTCTAATGACCAATTGATTGAAGATTGAGTCATTACTTGTCCTTTACTATGATGATCTACTTGACCAAGACAACCTCCTAACTTTTACAAAATTATCACTTATCTCTCCCGACCACGAAGGAAATAAGGTATCCTATTTAATCTTTCATATCTACTGCAAAATTGTCTTCTATAAGCAAGTCATCTTCAACATTTACTCTCAAATCGAATCAAGAAACTACAAAAAATGCATCAAAAGACTGAAACTGAATCAAAGCAATAAATGAAAAGAATCAATATCCTTGAACAAAATAACACATGGACCATCGTGGATCTACTTGTAAATAGGCATGACAACGGGGCAGAATGAGGACGGGTTTTGCCTCCTCCACCCGTAATCCCGACTCTTTTAACTAATAACGTCCTATATCCTTAACGAGGTTAGAAAGTAAATCTTCATCTTTGTCCCTGTTGGGTTTTGAGTTTCCCGTCCTCGACCCATTTTCACTCTACATTATTTTAAGAAAATAATTAACCTTATAATAAATTAAATTTAAATTTTTTTATGTTTTTTTTATATAAAAATAAATTTTTGTAGTTTTTTAATAATTATTATTATTACATATTATAACATATATAAGTTAATTATTTTTTAAGTTGTCATTTTAAAATGTTAATAAATATCAAATATATAGTTTATAAGAAAATATTTAATAAGTTAATTCTTATTTAATTTATCCAAAGTAATAAAATTTGTAATTATAAATTCTTTTTAATTAGGTCTTTAAAGTACAATTATTTTATTAAGATAAAATTTGATATAAGACAAATAAAAATAAAAAAATTCAAAAATATGACATAATAAAACCTAATAAAGATAAATTAGAAATAATACTAGGTACTTCTAACATTAATGTACAATATTTAGAGAAAGATAAAATATAAGAAAAATTAAGTTTGTGTTTATCAAATTGGTTGAAAATATTGAAAAAATCAAATTGATTGAAGAGATCATGAAAATGTGAAGGAGTAAAAGATGAGAGAAAAAGAATAATGTAATGAACTAGATGATTGAAGAAATTGGAAAAGATAAAAGAATGAAAGGTGGGTAGGAGAAATGTAAAGAATGTGAAATATAAAAGAAATTACCTTATAGATGTGAAATAGAAAAGAAAAGATTATTAATTTAGGATTTATATTTAAATATAAAGTTGGGTTGGGGACGAAGACGAGGCTAAGGTGGAGATTGCACTACTTATCCCACCTTTATCCTTGATTTTTTTTTAAATAGGAAAAACCTAAACCTGCACTCGTACCCGGTTAACTTGGTTTTTTTCAGTCAAACTCAGAGCGGATACGGATCAGTCCCCACGGGTGTATGTATAATTACAATCTTATCTGCAAATAAAGCTATTATTGGTTGTAAATGAGTATATAAAATAAAACACAAAGTAGATGATTCTATTGAAAGATATAAAGTTCGATTTGTTGTCAAAGGATACTTTTCGTTAGAAGGACTTGATTTCACTTATACTTTTGCTCCTGTCACAAAACTTACTATTTTTCGATTTCTTTTGTCTTTGGTCGTGATCAATAACTAGCATCTAAATCAACTTGATGTCAATGATAATTTTCTTCATTGAGACGTTCATGAAGAGGTATATATATATATATATATATATATATATGCTTGCATATGGTCTACGTCATGGAAATACCAACAAGGTTTGTCGTCTTCATAAATCCCTTTATGATGACCTTAAACAAGCTAGTCAACAATGACATGAAAAACTATCTCACTTCTTAAAATTCACAATTTTGACCAAGTTTCTATCGATCACTTTTTGTTCTTAAAGTTTACATCTTCTAGCACTACAACTTTACTTGTTTACGTTGATGATATAATAATAATCGGAAATAGCATAGATGAAATAAATAACATCACTAACCTACTTAATCATGCCTTTAAAATAAAAAACATAGGAAATCTCACATATTTTCTTGGTCTTGAGGTTATAAGAAACAGTACTGAAACACATCTTTGTCAATGGAAGTATGTTCGGCTCTCTACACCAGTCTTTACTCCCATGAACTTTTCCACCTGGTT